TTAGTTGTATTTGTGAAGTGGTTGTTCGAGGCAGCTAACTCCGATGTTTACCTATGCCGCCATCTTGGTTTTCTCCACATTTATACACTCTTGGAAACTAAAAATTTCATGTGACTTGCTTTTTGTGATAGTCACTCTATTGAAATGCCTTGGAAACAAACAAAGTATCTCCAAAGTATGCCTGTACTGAATGTAAGAATTTAACTAATTAAAGAAGGGTATGCATCAATCTTTTTTTTTCTATGTAATAATAACCTGTAGATACTTTTGTTCTTAAATATACACACTTAATTCAATTCAAAAGAGGATAAAAAACCTGAAATATCAGATTTTATAATTAATTTTTCTTACCAAGGAGTTTCATTGATTGTGGCTTGAGTTGTCCCTTTATTGTGCCATGTGCTATTGCATCTGCTGGGATTTCTGCATTACAAACAGATTTAAAAACACACCATATGATCATTTACATATAAATAATTTATATAGGAATATATGTTTCCATGAGTGTATGTATATTGGGTGTAACGAACATGTATTGTTTTTTTTTTTTAAGAAAAGCATTATATTAAAATATCTGGATTGCAGATTCACAAGAACTTAAATTGGAATAGATGAAGCAAGGATATCAGCCATATTATGCTGATGTTTAGAGATGTTTAGTGACTTATCCAAAATCAAATATATAGAAAATGACAAAATTGAAATACATTTTAGAAGTTATGCCACATAATTCCTCAAACAGTGCTTATTCTATGCAAATTCTCTCTTATGCAAATAGAAATCATCCCAGAGAAGTCATGATAATAAAATTACTTCCAGGATTATATTAAATGTACACACTTTTTCTTAAGGATGTACCTCATGAAGTAGAACAATACTGTTTGTCCATTTGATTCTTACCACAGGGCAAGTTGCAAAGAATAGATTGTATAGTCACAGAAATACTTGACTCAATAGGGAAAATTTTAATTTCCCTTTGGGTTTTATAACTGTAAACCGTATAGATGTCAGTGATTAAGAGAACAAAAAGACATTGATTAGATTGAGAAAAATGTTTTCTGAGGATCCTTTGGCATGAAGACTTTGTGACATGCAAGAAGGAAATAGTTATAAGTTTGCAGTAGTACCATGGTACTGGTTGGATCCATTTCCACCAGAGTTTTTATATGATTCAAAGTTTTTCCTATAATTAGCAACTATTAAGTTTTTCCAGTGACATAAAAATGCATGGAAGGTTTTAAATAGAAATTAGTATTGTGGGAGGGATAAATTGTATTCAGGAACTAAAAAGGACTTCAGGGCCAACAATGTATGGAGTGGAAGTCAGTTCTAGTGGATTCTGCAAGTGTACTTGGGAAGATCTCATGGTCCTGACACTGCACAGCAGACTTCTTGCTTTGAAGTAATGCCTGAGCCCATAAAAAAATATAAAAGGTTACACTATGACTCTGCCAGCCAATACATACCATACCACTTTCTTTACAGAGAGTGATCCAGCTGGGGTCAATAACAAACTAAACAAATAGCTCATTTTGTGCAGAACAAATCTTCACTAATTGATTAGATAGATTTTGTGAAAGCTTCAACACAACACTGGGCAACATTAGCCAATATATTTTACCTGCTCTGGTCTTTCTCCAATAGGTATAAGTAAGAAACACCAAGACAGAAGAATCAAGTATGTAAAGTATACTAAGATAAGCGGAAGGTAATCAAAATAGCAGTTGAGGGGAGAAATTTATAATATGGTAAGAATCAAAACTTTCTTCCCATAAATATCTTTCCATTGCTTTAAATCTTCCTTAATCTCTTACTATTTGTAGTTCAGATAGCTATTTTAGCAAATGTATAGCATACAATACATTTTTCCTATATAAAGTGTGAAATTCAATGAGTCTTTAAAATTTATATTCAGAGTTTTGTAACTACCCAAATTGATCACTTTAGAATCCACTTCAGATAGATTCGAAATAATTTTCAGAGATATCTTGAACAGCCTATCCAATATAGTTCTTTTACCTCTTTCCCCTTTTTGTGCTATTATTACACAGCAGGCCCACCTTATTATTGAGGGATCCATTCCAAGATCCCCCAGTGGATGGATGCTTGAAACTGTGGTTTGTCTCAAGCCCTAAATATATTATGAACATTCCTATACATACTTATTTATGATAAATTTTTTGCTTTCCCTTTGGCACATCCAAACTGCCAGCATCATTATTCTTGTCTATTGGTGCCAGTATGAAGTAAAATCAGGTTTACTTAAATACAAGCACTGTGATACCATGACAGTGCTTACTCGTGTAATAACAGAAAAGACTACTGAGTGACAAAAAGGCAGGTAGTGTACTCAGCGGGTATAAGCTGCAAAAGGGGATTATTTAAGTTCTGGGCATGATATAGGGGAATGGCATGAGATTAACCATGTTCCAAAGAATAATGCGTAATTTAAAACTTATGAATTATTTATTTCTGGAATTTTCCATTTGATATATATATTTTTTGTGATTGACCATAAATAACAGAAACTGGGCCAATTAAAACTGCTGACAATAGGGAACAATGGTGCTGAATATGTCTATGATATAAAGTTATGTGTTATACTTATTTTTATATAACTGTGTGTCCTCTGAAGAAATTAAGAGAAGAATGAACAGAAAGTATATATTTACAATGTTCTTTTATATTAGTCTCCTTATTTATGATTCTGGGTTTTCTTCATTTTCTCCTGCACGTTTGAGGTTACATCTGCTAAAACATCTTACTGAAATACTTTGTGACTCCCACACTTATCCTTTGTGCTGCCATAGTGGAATGTATTCCTTTTCCACATTTTAAAGGCACAACAATACAATGATATACATTTTGGTTAAGCAATTGCCGTTTTTTTCCTCTCTTAATATATTTTTATTTATTTCAGAGAGAAAGGGAGAGGGAAAGAGAGATAGAAGCATCAATGATGAGAGAGAATCACTGATTGGCTACCTCCTGAACGCCTCCCACTGGGGATTGAGCCAGCAACCCAGGCATATGCCCTTGACTGGAATTGAACCCAGGACCTTTCAGTCCACAAGCTGACGCTCTATCCATTGAGCCAAACCAGTGAGGGCACAATTGCCTTTTTAATCAACTATGGAGACAAAACATGCATTCATGCAGTCTTTCAGAATTACTTAATTCCTTGCACCCATGATACATTAAAGGAGGTTATCAAATTACTGCCTGAAGCCAAATTGCTTTCAACATGAACAATTTACTTGACTGATACTGTTAAGGTAGGTCTGCTGGCAACAGATCCCTTGTGTTTGTTTTGTTTTTTGAAATTTGGGAATATCTTTTTGTCACCTTCACTTTGAAAGATAGTTTGGCTATATATAACATTCTTGGTGACAGTGTTTTCTATTAGCACTCTGAGTATTCCATCCCATTCCCTTCTGGCCCTGACAGTTTGTGATGTCAAGGCAGCTCTTCATGTTACCAGGTTTCTCTTTTCCATGATGAGTTGTTTGTCCTTTGTTGGTTTTATGATTTTCTCTGTCCTTCATAACTTTTACCAAGATGGATCTGGTTGTATATTTCATTGTACTTATTCTACTTAGATTTCATTGTGCTTGGATGAGCACATTGATATTTATCATCGAATATGTTAAAAATATTTCAACCATTATTTCTTCCAATGCTTTTCCAGCTCCTTATCTCTCTGCTCTATATTCACTGTTCCCATTGTTTTAAGCATGGAGATTCTGTCTTCTGACAATACCAATCTATTCCTGAGCCCCTCCAGAGCATTTTGCCTTATAGTTATTGGAATTCCAATGCCAAATTTTTTAGAACTCATTTATTTAAACTGATCCACAGAAATACAATGCTATTATGAGCTTGGAATATGCTTGATGGAAGTCTTTAAAATGCCATTCTAATAACTTTTTCAGTGTTTATATTTTCATATACCTATCACTTTGTTGATATTTTTTATTCAATGCTGCTATGTTATTTTTCTTTTTTTAAAAATGGGATTGTGTCTTTAAAATATTTATATATTATAGAAATGCCTACAACTGGAATAAACACAAAGAATTTTTGGGGCCTGCTTTTCTCTTTTGTAGGGTTCACACTTGCTGTTCCTTTGAGTGTCTCATATATTCTGTGGTAAAACTTCAGCATTTTAGGCAATATATTGTAGCAAACCTGAATACTGTGTCTGCCCTCTCCCCCAAATTGGGAGGCTTGTTGTCATTGTGTGCCTGGTCATTTATTGAGTGATGAAGAAGGACTGTTTCATATTTTACTGAAATGTCCTTCCCTGCAATGCCATGCTTCTAGCGTTGTTCCTCTCAGGGCATGGACACTATCACCTTAGAATGACTGGTGTTTTGAAAGCCTCTCTTTTACTGTCTCCTTCTCTGATTGATCTCTTGACTTGCCTACTTTCTTTGGTACCATGTCAAAGATCGTGACAAAGTGTATTAAGCACTGGTCGGCCAGGACAAGAAGCAGTAAACTATACTCTAATCTGCATTAAAAAGAAATCCTAAAGGATACTACACAACCTGAAATACTAGATATTTGCCTGATAGTGTAATCACATGGAGGAAATTAATAAACAATGTAAAATCTTTTTTTTAAAATTCCAATTCTAATCCCATTCATAAGGTAGCTTTTCTGCTTTTGCAAATACAAAGCAACTAATGAATTGTATCTGATAAAGAAAGTGAGCAAAATGTCATTTAAAAGGGTTCCATCAAGCACATGTCAAGCTCACAAAAGCAGTGGACTTTTGTGGATGACTTTAAAGAGATGAGTCCTAAAACATATATTATGTATCCAATTACCCATTTATGGTAACTGCTAGAGTTCTACTCATTATAGGAAGAAATTATGGAGCTGTTTTATTATGTCAAATAACATTTAGTTACCGTGGTCATTGAAAATGTACACTTAAATAAACTTCTGAGACAATAAATAAACCATAAATAGACTTGAAATATTCTTGTTCTTACCAGCTTGGTGCAACGATTGTTTCTTGGTTTCCCCCTTTATTTTATCTCTTCTGAAATTGCTCGGTAAGTATTCTGTATCAGATGCTATAGAAATAAACAGTTTTAAATCAGTTTTGTAAGGCAAATATTAAACTATGTGCCTTGATGTGTGTGTGTCTTGGTTTCTGTGTGTAAATGTGTTTGTGACTAGTGCTCCCCTTATTATCATTTTTATCACAAGAAAGGATTGTACTGAAGTATCTGTGTTTCTGAAATAAGCACCTTCGAATTGTTAGTGATTAACCATTAGATAAGTCTCATTGTTCTGAGGCTTACACATATTCAGTGATTTGACCAAGGTAACATATCCAACTAATGACAAATTTCAATTACAGACTGATATCTCATAATTCTTTACAGGGTCTTTTCTCATAACATAAAAATTCTTTGTAATTAAATATCAAAGAGATCTTATCTTAATAACATAACTTCCATGTGTAAAAAAAAAACCACATGTATATTGCAGGGTTAAACCTTGTTGGGAAGGTTTTTCCACTACTCAGGTTGAAAACAATGATCACCATAGTCACAGAACCAAACTGTGAAGCAGAAATTCTTAAACCTGACCATGGATATATCCATGACCTCTCCGTATTTTTGTCATATAAATGTAAAACAGGGAATAGCTAGCATTGGAAAATAAGGACAGGTAATTTGTGGTCGTAGGTAAAGCTAATACCCTCTCAAGTCTAAAAGCATGTAGACAAGTGGTTCTCAATCTTCCTAATGCTGCGACCCTTTAATACAGTTCCTCATGTGGTGGTGACCCCCAATTTCATTGTTACAAATTGAACATAATTAAAGCATAGTGATTAATCACAAAAACAATATGTAATTATATATGTGTTTTCCGATGGTCTTAGGCGACCCCTGTGAAAGGGTCATTCGACCCCCAAAGGCGGCGGGACCCACAGGTTGAGAACTGCTGATGTAGACCTTCTAGTTGGAGAGGGAAAATAGGTGATGTGCAGTCATGTGAGCATTGGAATTGTGTCCCTTTCCATTTGAGTCTTTAGGTGGTTTTTCCCTTTTGCTGGATTTGTAATTTACTCTCTAGGGCCAGTGACAGAAAAAATATTGTGAAATTTAGTTTTAAAACATGCATCCTGCAGAAAAAATAATTAGAATGGTGACACTGCATCACCTACTGGGTAAATTTTTCTGGAATAATAATCCTATCTAATAAAAGACAAAAAGGGTAATTAACTGTACCTCTGCTATGCTTCCCATTGGCTAATCAGGGAGATATGCAAATTAACTGCCAACAAAGATGGCGGCCGGCAGCAACGCAGCTGAAGTGAGCAGGAGGTTTGCTTGCTCCAGTGATGGAGGAAGCCAAGGTTCCCCGCCTGCCGCGACCCGGCTCTGAGCTCCAGAAGCAACAATGTTTCAATTGTAGAAGCTAAACAAACCCCAGATACCTGCTTTCAGCCGGCCTCGGCCTCAGAGCTGGGAGCGCCAGTGACAGCAACAATGTTTCAATTATAGAAGGTAAATAAATCCCAGAATATAAAAAAAAGAAAAAAAGGAGAGGCTGGAGCTTCAGTCTCCTGCTAGCCAGAAAACAGCCCTCAGCCCCTCACCCAGACTTGCCAGGCACCCCAGTGGGGACCCCCACCCTAAAGGGGGTGTGGCCAGACTGAAACAGCCATCAGCCCCTCATCCAGGCTGGCCAGGCACCCCAGTGGGGACTCCCACCCTGAAGGGGGCATGGCCAGCTGCAAAGAGCCATCAGTCCCTCACCCAGGCTGGCCAGGCACCCCAGTGGGGACTCCCACTCTGAAGGGGGTGTGGCCAGCTGCAAACAGCCATCAGTCCCTCACCCAGGCTGGCCAGGCACCCCAGCAGGACCCCACCCTGATCCGGGACACCCTTCAAGGCAAACCAACCGGCCCCCACATGTGCACCAGGCCTCTATCCTATATAGTAAAAGGGTAATATGCAAACTGACCCTAACAGTAGAAAGACTGGGAATTACTGGTCACTATGACACACACTGACCACCAGGAGGCAGACGTTCAATGTCGGAGCTGCCCTCTGGTGGTCAGTGTGCTCTCACATGGGGGAGCTCTGCTCGGCCACAAGCCAGGCTGATGGCTGCCAGTATAGCGGTGGTGGTGGGAGCCTCTCCTGCCTCCTCAGCAGCACTAAGGATGTCTGACTGCAGCTTAAGTCTGCTCCCTGCTGGCAAGTGGACATCCCCCAAGGGCTGCCAGAGGGATGTCTGATTGCCATCTTAGGCCCAATCCCCTGGGGAGCAGGCCTAAGCCAGCAAGTGGTCATCCCCTGAGGGGTCCCAGACTGCGAGAGGGCACAAGCTGGGTTGAGGGATGCACCTCCCCACCCCGAGTGCACAAATTTTTGTGCACTGGGCCTCTAGTAATAGTAATAGTAATAGTAATAATAATAATAATAATAATAATAATAATAATGGTTTCAGTGTAAATAGAACTGAGACAGAAACTTTACATGATGCAGACATTATAGGCTGTAAGCATTGTTTTAGCATGAACATGATTATCACCATGGCAGTACATACATACCACCATAGCAATCTAAGCAGAGGTGAAGTCCAGAAGGGGCATCATTAGCAAAGACAAAGACACACTGGATTGGGCAGGATAACTTTGCCACAATAAGTTATGACATTTGTGAAAGTGACATCAGTTATAGCAACACATGACAGGACAACCTTCGCAGACATGTTATTTCTTGGTATTCTTGCAACAAATACAATTAGAAGAATTGATTCATTTGAATAGAGAACAAAACAATTTATATAATCAGAAAGGCAACAAGAATAGCCCTTCAGGACAGATTGACTTTAATACTGTGAGCAAAAGATATATGTGGTGGAGAAACTTATAATCTATTAAGAGGCATAATTTTCTTATTTCACAAAATCCTACCATTGCTTTTGAGCCTTTAAAAAATTTTTATTCTTTTCTAAGTTACCTAATCAATATATATATATATATATATATATATATATATATATATATATAATATATATAATATATATATATATAATATATATGCTGTACAATATTCCCATATTGAAAGACTAGTAATGGTTATTAATAGTTCAGAGTGTTGTGCCACAATCAGCAAAGTCACCCTTTAATATAGCTTTACATTTATACAAAATAAATCCTGGGAGATATAGAATTGAGATTGCTATACAGTTTTATTAACTATTTCCCATTTTTCTGGTACTGTATTACATGTTAAATGTAGTCATAACAAAGGCATTGCTGAAAATGCTGTTATAATAATTTTTTATGAAACTATTCCTTTTAAAGAAACTGAGAGACAAAGTTCAAAGAATAATATGTTTAGAGTGTTTGTTACATAACAATCTTATTTACCATCTTGGGTTTTTATGTGCTTCCTGTGCATCTAGTGTTTTCTTCTTACTCTAACTCATCCTTATCATCACCATCTCCTTTATGCTACTTTTTGAGGTATACTATTATTTGTCTGTAGGTTATAGTCACAACAATATATGTTTTACCTACTGCTTCATACAGTTTCATTTAAAAACAATTAAGAAACGTACTATACCACATAGATAAACTGAGATATAAAAACCATATAATCATATCCATACATACAGAAATAGCATTCAACAAAATCCAACACCCTTTCTTGATAAAAACTCTCAGCAAGGTGGGACTAGAAGGATCATACCTCAACGTAATAAAAGCTCTATATGACAAGCCCACAGCCAACATCATAATCAATGGGCAAAAACTAAAACCATTTCCCCTAAGAACAGTAACAAGACAGGGATGCCCACTCTCACCACTCCTGTTCGACATAGTACTGGAAATACTAGCCATTGTGATCAGATAAGAAGAAGAAATAAAAGGCATCCAAATTGGAAAAGAAGAAGTAAAACTGTCTTTTTTTACACATGACATTATATTGTACACAGGAAACCCTAAAGACTCCATCAAAGAACTACTGGATTTAATGAATGAATTCGGCAATGTAGCAGGATACAAAATTAACACCCAGAAGTACATGGCTTTTCTATACACCAACAATGAACTCACAGAAAGAGAAACTAAAAAAGCAATCCCATTTACCATTGCAACAAAGAAATTAAGATACCTAGGAATAAATTTAACCAAGGATATAAAGGACCTGTACTCAGAAAATTTTAGGATCCTGAGAAAAGAGATAGAGGAAAACATGAACAAATGGAAGAATATACCATGTTCATGGACTGGTAGAATCAACATCATTAAAATGTCCATACTACCTAAAGCAAACTACAAATTCAATGCAATATCCAATAAAATACCAACAGCATACTTCAAAGACCTAGAACAAACTCTCTAAAAATTCATCTGGAATAAAAAAAGATCCCGAATAGCTGCAGCAATCTTGAGAAAGTAGAACAATGTTGGAGGGATCATAATACCAGATATCAAGCTCTACTACAAAGCCACTGTTCTCAAAACTGCCTGGTACTGGCACAAGAACAGACATATAGATCAACGGACCAGAACAGAGAACCCAGAAATCAACACAAGCCATTATGCTCAACTAATATTTGACAAAGGAGGCAAGAGCTACAATGGAGACAAGACAGTCCCTTCAATAAATGGTATTGGGAAAATTGTAAAGATACTTGTAAAAAAATGAAATAGACCACCAACTTACAGCATACACAAAAATAAACTCAAAATGGATAAAGGACTTAAACGTAAGATGGAAAACCATAAAAATCTTAGAAGAAGCCGTAGGCAACAAAATATTCGACATATGTTGTAGCATTATCTATATTGACACAGCTCCAAGGGCAATGGAAACAAGGAGGAAATAAACAAATGGAACTACACCAAAGTAAAAAGCTTCTGCACAGCAAAATAACCATCAACCAAACAACAAGAAAGCCCACTGCATGGGAAAACATATTTGCCAATGTTATCTCCAATAAGGGTTTAATCTAAAAAATTTATGGGAACTGATACAACTTAACAAAAGGAAGATAAACAATCCAATCAAAAAAATGGGCAAAGGACCTAGATAGACAG